CAAGACGCATAATAGTCGGACGTAACGAGTCGCTTTGCAAACGACAAATTCCTTTCTCTGACCGATTCTACCGTACTTGGAATTTAAACGCCACCTCCGCGAGACGGACCTTTGAAATTCGCAGAAACCTTGTGGAAAGATCAAACACTCTTGCTGACATTACGAGGGGTCCATGTGAAAGCGGTGAATTGAACAAAATGGAAGAACCAGGACCTGAAATCGGTGAAACAAAAGGGCTTAGTTAAAAATATCGGTTACGTCAACCAGACCTTCCGAAGACCGTAAACCATTATATCCTTTTTTTACTGTAATATATTCAGAAAAAAATAAAGAGTATTATTGTTATTATTTTGTCTAATCTAAGAACCTGTTTTCCACATTTCCTTTCACACGAGCAAACAATACTTTCATGTAATACATTAAACATAATCGATACAAAAGATCAATTAATTGCAGAATCAGAACCGACTCTACTTCCGCGACTTTCTATGACCTACATTTTATCCCCGATAGAGAACCGTTTTATCCGCATCATCGAGCCAACGACTTCCGGAATAATTCAGCATCGAATTCCACGAAAGGGTTCCTCTTTAATTCCAATACCTCATTTACGTTTACATGCTTCGTAATAGCAGATACAGTAAGTGGTGGACGGCATCCACGGAAGAACTGGCGCCACGAAGACTCTGGAAGGCTATCCATAAAACATGCTCGTTCGAATGAGAAAAAAGGAAAAAGGATGAGATGAGGAAGCAAGATGGAAAGGGTGGCTCTGATGAGAGAAACGAGACCGACCGTCCTTCTAGCCACCAAGAAACGTTTAACTAAAGGGAGCGCCTTTACACGAAGGGCGTAACAGAGGGACACGAAGAAGAAAGGAAGATGGGTAAAGAAATTGAAGAGTGACGACTAATTCACAAGATTGATCGATGGTGTTAAAACACCTTTCAATTGGCAATGATCGATTTCTTAAGTAGACAAATTTTAATATTTCAAAGTATAATCTGCCTAATGTAAATTATTTTCCAAACTAACAAGTTTTGAGAAAATCATAAAAGTAAATAAAAGATCAACCTGAAAAATTAATCACCAGTATAATTATTCCTCTGAAAGGTGGCTTTTTTAGATCAAAAGAAAATAATGTAAAAAGACAGTGATTTCAAAAGAAAGGAGAAAGCAAATGAACAGCCGCTTCATTAACGAAGAAAATCAAGCAGACGTCAAAAGGAGAAAGATTACGCACGTGAAGATCCAAATAGAAATACGATGCAACACGATGTACGGCAATTTAAACTTGTTTCCCTTAAAGCCAATGCCAATCCACGGCTTTTTGCGGATGTATCGTGCCGGGAAATAGATTCACGGAGTAGCGATCTTCGTTTTCTCGAACGTCTATAAAACATAACTGCTTAAGCGTTAACGAAGGGCAAGCACCGGTGACAGTGGAACGAGAAAAAGTCGCGGGCAGAACATCGAAAAGAAAAGCACGAAAAGGAGATATACGGGTTTCGTGATAAGAGAAAGAGGGATGTAGAATCTTCAAGGCATTCGTTTTACACGGAAATCGAGAAAGCCAAGGCAGGAGATTAATTTTATCGTAAAGCAGAAAGGAAACATAGGAGAAGCTGAGAGGATATTGAAAAAACGTCTTGTGAATCTTCTTAGGTAATTGAAAGCTGGAAGCGTGAAATACAACTTCAATCGGCCAGTGTCAGAGGTCGTTAATCGATGCAATTATTTTGTTTCAATGACTCGAGGAATCGTGTAAAATAAACATAGCAAGTGCACTCATTGGCGTAACTAATAATAAGACTTTTTCTGGGGTGGACCAAGTCCCATGGTAGATAGAATGATTATACATTTTTATTTGTAATATTGTAGAATGTTAGCACTTAGAATCTAAACATTTTGGAATTTAGAATTTTTCAATCTTAAAATCATACGAATAGTGAGGAAGCTCTACGTTACTTCCTATCTAGTTACGCCAATGAATGCAGTATGTATTCATTTTGTAGCCATATATCAAGAGTAGAGAAGAATATAGCAAAAAAGAATCGAATGGTTGGTTCCACTTCGAATCTTCTTTTCCTTTTCTTACTATGCTTTGCTTCGCATTAATTCGTGCCACGTTTCTTTCACATAATTGATCCACATACCGATGCAAGTGCTTTTAGACAGACGAGTGTTCGTCCGATTTTCGAGTGGACGTCTTCTTTTTACTTGGCCCTTTGAATAAACCAGCCCTGCCCATACTTCGATTCTACACTCTCTTATGACATAAACGGGAGCACTGTTCGGAGACGCTTTTAGCATTATGATTTTCATCGAATTGAAATGTAACGCTTTGATAAATGAACTAGACAGTTGAGCTGGTTCTGATTTCATGTACTGACGTTGAAATGTTTCCTTTCGACAACTACTGTCGACGCGTGTTGTACGATATCTAAAAGGCTGTCAATGTAATCCATAAATCTGTTTAGTAATTTGATATTTTTGAACTTGGTATAAATAATTTTAAACAAATTTTGAACGAGTTGTCTTATAAATTTGTCCACCAAAGATTAATTGGATTCTCGTAAAATTTCATTCAATTTCATGGAACATAAAATACTTGTTATATACTGTAATTACATACATACATACATACATATAGGTAGCGAAAAAAAGAAAATAGAGATAAGTTTTAATTCAGGGCTGCTCGGTTGGCACGCAAGGTAAAACCAGACGGTGGAATCCTGGTAGTGCGAATCAATCTTGTTGCTAGTCTCGTCTAGTCTGCTTCTGGTAAAAGGAATTCTTGAAATTTTATCAGTGGCGTGTTCAAGGGGTGTACTTTCATGAAATAGCTCCATATATAATTCACAATAACAGAATATACTTATATCCATACGGAAACGTTTACCACGCTCGTGTTAATTGATATAGAGACAAGAAAATGAAAAGTGAAGTACAGGGTGTTTCACCAATCTTGGTCCAATTGAAAAGAGAGTTAATTTCTCCTGAGAAAATAAATTGAAAATATAGAATACAATTTCCTAGGTATCGTCTGAAGAAATTTCAATCTACGTCACTGTATTTTATTCTCAACCCCATGGAAAAAAATCTTAGAAACTGGAGTGAATTCTTGAGTGAATTCTTCTTCAAGGGAAGAGGGTAAAAATAGATCTTCTAGTTTTGCCTTGCAAATTCCTTGAGGTGGAACCGAAATTACGTTTACTGAGAGAAGTGTCTCTGATGGATGTACATAGAATTGATTATCTACCGTTTGTCGCCAATGTTCTGCATTTATAATTTTATAATTATAAACTTATAATTGTATATACCTAATATACTAGCACTTCTTCGAGGGAAAAATATAAAATATGGTCCACTGTCTAAAAAGAAAGTACGTCCATAAATGGCACTAATAAGACAAGTAACAAATAACCGTCATTTCCAACATATATTTATTATAATTTCTTGCTGAATTGCACGGCTTCTTTACGTTGAAAATAATAGTCCTTTCGCAATTCGTTCCCATAAATTTGCTCTTGCTTGTTAGATTATTCACATAATCAGCCATATATGTAATTTTCTTCAGTCGTATACGCGTTTATTGACTTCCTTTCATAATTTATTCAATAAAATACGAAACAAGAGAAATTTCTTTTTGCTCTATAGGTACTGTTACCCGATGAAAAGTTCTTTTCGACGTAATTATCTTTTGGCGAGCACAAAGCTTTGTTTCTACTTGTCGAAGAAACGTAAAAGCTGCTAACAATGCATGATAAAGTCTGCGTTACAGTTTATTCAATAGACGAGACAAAAGATATCGTTTCAAACGACTCCATTATTCCGCACGAAGCAATTGAAGGCTCGTTCCTCGACGTTTTAGAAACAGATGGTAATGGCTTTCGCGTAAAGCTTGCATGCCTCTTAATTATTAACACTCTATAACAATAGCAGCGATCAAATGCATTTGTGTACGCGTGCCTGCTGGCTTGATTTGCGTAAAACGTCCCGGGGTAATTGCTATGAGCACAAAACAGGTTTAAATTTAAACGTCCGTGCTTCGAACGTTTCGTTTTTATAAGAAATTTAATGAAAGAGGTGCAGAATACCGATGCTTGGAAGAGTGGAAGCTTTAGGCTTTCAAAATTTTAGAACTCTGAAACTTTGAAGCATTGCAAATCGACAAAGCTATAAACACACGAGGAATTGAACAGACAAAGTAATTGGATGTCATGGAATAAGTGGTTAGTCCAATCATCGAGCTAATCTTGCTGCCTGTACGTATGTATGTACATGATCATGTCGTGTGTCGAGCAGTCGGGAAAGTAACGAATGCACTCTCTCTGTACGAGAAGAGAGGTCCAAGTTGGCTCGAGGTGCTCTTGAACGAATGGAGGTTGCCGAACGAACGGCTGCAGAGATATTCCGGTTCGTGAATAAATTGCCGATGGCAAGGCCACAACTAACGGCCGCCAGTCTGGCGTCGATATTCCTGCTGCCGTTTTGCACACACGTCGAAACACGAATACGATGCACGCACCGTTCCTCCGGTTCACGCGTCTTCCTTCTTCGCCCTCTTTTTTATCATCACCGCGGCTAATTCCAAGATGCCTCGCGACTTTGCTTTACGACGCCCTTCACACCTCCAGCATCGCGATTCCGCTCGGTGGAAAAGTATCCTGTTGCCCCTTTTCCTTACGATTAAATGCAATTTCATATTTGAGTCAAGATTATCAACTAAAAGGGGCTTCGAAAATTTGATAGCCCCCCAGAAACCTTAATCCAGTCCTGTCTTCATTATAAAAATCAATTACAAATATCGCAATAATTTTTCAATCATTTATATTCTCAGCAATATTCGATACAGCAAACCAGACATCTAATCAAACGATTGGTTTATGTTGAAATATGTATGTAGATAATTGTATTGACACAAACAGGCGTGATCAAATCGCATGAAACTGATACGACTAAGCGTTTTCGCGATAATTGATCTCGAACTGTTCAAAAATAATTTCGACATGATCACCTGTCAATAGGTTACTCGGAAACTATATTTCAAACTAAAAATTACAAAAATGATAAATTGTAATTGATTAATCAGCATCAATAATGAATCACAGTAATTAGTACAATGAATAAATTGCCAGAGGAATATGTGTCTAAAACCAGAAAAAGAAGAAAATGTTGAAATCTATATGTCCTCCGATAGCAGGAGGTTAATGAAAAATCAATATAAGCAAGTAATAGTCTAATTATTTCATTAATTCCTAAATGTTGAAAATATTATTGGCTATTCTTTTCGTTCATATAGGTGAAATCAATATTCCACGTGAAGTAACAGAAAATGCGTAAGAACTGTTGCGATCCAGTATGTTCAGCAAATAGACAATTTGCATGGTACTTGCAACAAATTCTACATATATTGTAAATATTAATAAGAGATTTTCATCATGTATATATAACTACTTAGCACTAGCAGATCAAAGAGTAGATCGAAGAAACGAAAACTAGCATGTTACGAAGCTTGTCCGACTACTTCAAGAACTTCAACGAAGCCACGGAAGAGATGTGCGAAGTCGAAGAAGAGATCGAAGGAACAGAAAGTTAAAATTTGCAAAAAGTATTTTATACAATCTCTGCGCGCTTATATCTTGGGAGCTAGATACAATAAACCTAATTTTCAGCAAAAAATGTCGAGCTGCAAGATGGGACGTGGAAAGTTCAACGTCGATACATGTGCCAGAGAAAATATGGTGAGAGAGTGATAAATAAATTATAGTCTTTAGTACAGCCACTTACATACTTTGTGAGAAGTATCATCATTCGAAGTCACAGATCCTTTTCAACCTTGCATTCTTTAAACCCTCGTTCCCATGCCATTTCAATGAATCAGCAAATAGCTACCTAAGAAACATTTGGTATATCATTCACTATGCATAAACAAGGCAATAAAGTGTACAGTATAGCTCATAATTGTTCAAACAATGTTTTTAATAGACTGCGGATGTTTAGGCATTTATAGCATACTAAAGCTTGCAGAAAAATACGCAATCCATATGGTACGTAAAAGAATTTATTTGCAAAATATTTTTGACTTTTTTACTGCTAGAATCAATTTAGGTTTTCAAACCTTATATAGCAATCATGAAAGTAAAACTTGATCTTTAGCATTTTAGAATTTATTATTATAAGCCTATCTCAATGAATAATTTTGTAATAAAATTTAAATACATTAATTATTGCTATTTATGTATTTGTGACAGATTTTAACCATAGAAAGAATATTAATTTTTTTGAAAATTATGGAATTATAATAAGATCAGAATAGTCATAAGCCTTATAAATATGGAAATGATTTTACATAATAGAGAAAAAAAAATAGAATTTTTCAAATATTTAATTTTCTTACCATTCAAAATACGATCATAAATATTCTACTTTTTAATGGCAGCGTGAGGCGTACGGAGTCGATGAGATCATGTAGATCCTGCCAGGATTCGCGACGTCCTAAAAGAATAACTTGCACTTGTCATCCACGTCGAAGTATACCTTTAGAAAGGAAGAAAGAAAATAAATGTTGCCAGTTCAAAAAATGCAGACGGCAAACAAGGCAACTGATGCCACTTTGTATTTGTGTCAGAACATCCAGTTCAGAGAATTTCAGAAGCATACAAAGTTCCCCTTGTCCAGTTTTTTCTAAATACGGAGAATGTTGCTGCATAAGTCATAAAGTACGTAATAAACAAATAATAATTACAAACAAAACAGATATTACAAACGCCACGATGAGAAAGTATAAAATGGGATATTTATTTTAGAAAAAGCGAAGTTGTAAAGAAACACCAGTTGCACCTCGAAGAGTTTCAGAACACAGAAAATGTTGCAAATGCCAGTACAATCCAACTTCGTTAAAGTAAAAGTTAGAATTATTTAACTCGTTCGCTGCCAATCACTCAATATCGCGTGCTCGATCGTCAGCACTAAATATCCGATCACGCGATATCGCGGGCTACATAGTTAATCTTCAAACGTTGCGGCACAAAGCGAACGAACCACTTCTGAAACACGGCAGCGAACGGTCTTTTAATACTGTAAAGAAAATAATATTTTTATGAATGACGCTTAGGACCCAGCAAAATGTATTCCTAAGGGGATTATCTTTCTTTGGTAGAAAGATACAGAAATTAAGACACCCATTTTCTAACAAGTCAGTAATATTATAATTATGATTAAAAACATATTTTTAGAGATATTTATAAATTACCTTTTGTTTTAGTCCAAGACCAAATCGACTTAGATCGTGTCCTATTAATAAATGTTGCTCTAGAAGCGCTTTGAAGAGAAGAAATGATAACTTTCCAGTAAGTACATATTTCCAAAAAAATAAATATAAAAGAAATTAATATTCTTTTTTTGTACTTCAGGAGAGAAGGAAAGTAATGTTCTGCAAATGAAGGTAACAACGATGAATTGACCGATGTTCCTAGTGTTCTTTATGTATTTGCTTACAAAATCAGTGATAATTATTTTAAAAGATATTTTTGATTTACGAGCTAACGATACTTAATAATTAAGTAATATCAATATAAATTATAAATTGCTACATCATAAAGATAAGTGTTCAATGCAAAGAATTATTTATTACAGAACACTTAGCGAACTAAAGACTTGTTTCGTGGTAAAAAAAAGTATATCATCAAGCAAAGGACACAACATAAAATGACGAGAATAATAAAAATTTTAGTCGCTGCTTTTGGCCACGTATTTGTTGACCTTGTCACGATTACACAATGTTATAAAGCCAAAATACAATACATCAAGTTGAACATGAGATAGTTGTTAAACGTTATGATATTGAATAAACGTGAAGAAATCTCTTACATGTGTAAGAAACATATTTTACATGTATTTTAAAAATTGTAACCAGAATCTCCAAGATTTGAATGTTACGTTGCACGGATACATCATAATCCAAACTGAAGGTGAGAATTATTAATAACTTTCACGTACTGCTGAAAAAGTAAAAAATGGCTATGGTAAAACTTCATCTGCAACAACAACCTACATGTTTACTTCGTATCTTACTTATATTTCAAATGACTCGCCCAAGGCAGTGATCGTAAACTAAACAAATGTCATGATTGTTTCTAAGACACATACTCATAAGTATATTCAGTCATCATTCAAACGGACTTTTATTAAATACCTACACTATTTATACTGGATAAATCGTCCTTTTTTCCACCGAAACGAAATAAAATCATTCTGGAGCTTGATTAAAATACATATATTGGTTTCTGAAGCATCAAGCTTCAAACATCCTGCTTCGATGCGAAGTTCTGTGATATAATGATTCGAGACAAAGCTCGTGGATGGTAAATTAAACTATTACATAACATACTGTATTATTCTCAATACATTGGAATGATCAGTCTCTTCTCACAGAATTGGCTTTCGACCACTTCGTAAATAAATCCGGCCAATTGTCAAGCCAAGCGAGGCAATCACATTTTCGTGTATGGTATGAGATATCGACGAAAGTTCCAGGAATTAGATTAAGTATGTGGTATAAGCGTCCAAAGTTAAGTCTAATAAAGTATTTCTCTTAGTACCATCTCTGAGTCTCATTGCTAAGGAAGATACACACACACACACAGCGTTAAAGTGAAAATTCACCGTGAACTACGTCTGTTTGTATTACGCAACTGTTTTTCAATTTCGAACTGTCGTAGATCGGCTCTTTGTAAGAAGTCCTGGCGTTCTAAATACCCATCTTTGCCTTTATTATGGGTAGTAATCTCTTCCTCCAGATTTTCTTCTTTCTTATAATTATCCCAATCTAACTTGGATTTTTCTAGGGTACTAATCTTTGCCTTTTTCCCGATTTGAGTAAGAACTGAAGAAATACCTCCTAAACCAGCCCTTTTAAAACCTTTTCCTCTGCCAGACCCTTTTCCTGCAGGAGAAGCAGTGTTCCCACTTTTCTCAGAATTTTCTGCAGAAGAAAGAGTTAGTCTAGCTTCTGCTGAATCTATTGGTACTTCCTTTTCAACCTTCACTTCTTCACCAGCAAATTCAAAAACCTTAGTTATTTTTACTTTTTCTTCCACTTTTGGTTTTTCTAAGGGAGGGGATTTCTCTTTTGGTTTATTTATTGTGTCCTGTGGCTTGGATTTAGATCCAACTCCTGTAACAAAAAAGAAAATATAGATACAAAAAGCATTATAAGAATATACCTATTTATTAACTATTAATATATATTTTTAATTAAAATTACACACCTGTATCTTTCATGAAATCAGCCCACAGTGAATCAGCTCTTTTCTTTTCTTCCTCTTCAGTACGTTCCTTCTTCTCTTTAGATTCTGTTTTATCTTCCTCTTCATCCTTCTCATCATCTTCATTCTTCAAGTTCTTTCCTGCTGTTCTACGTTTTTTAGTCTTGGACTTTGTCACCTTGCCTCTCTTCTTCCCTTTCTTCTTTGTGGTTTCTCTTTTATTTTCATCATTCTCATCTTCAGGACCACTTTCAACATCACCTTCAGATTCTACTTCTGATACAGGTTCACTGTCTGCACCATCAGGAACATAATCTTCGTCGTCTTCATCAGAATCAGAAGGCAACTGATGTTCATCAGTCATATTCAATTAAAGTTGATGAAATACCTGGAACAGAATATAATGCTTTAGTCATAAATCAATTAATATGATTAAAAAATTATTACTAAGTAACGCGTTTCTTTTAAATCTATTGCTTATGATTCTATTATAACATTGCTTACATTGATTATATTTATTATTTCCTTATATTGACACTTGACATACTTATTTGTTTCAAATTATTTCTCAAGTTTGCATTAAACAAACCAGACTCTATATTTTAGATTACACACAAACTAACTAGAACTTCAGTATATAAATATTTCACCTAACCTCTTTAAAGAACACAATTCTACGAATAATTATAAGCTAATAACAGAATAAATAATCTGCTATTTTAATACCTACGTATTTTCTCCGAAAACACGACTTTCCGTACGAAAAATTCAGTGGTACGATCAACTGCTTTTCGGAACTTTCGTCAGAATATTTGAAACGTTCTTTTACTTTTATCGCTCGCCACTTATTCGTTATGTACTAATAATAAAGTTCGAATAGAAATCGCTAATACTTTAAAGGTATACTGAAACAAACACCACTGAATGGAAGAAATTCGCAGAAATATTAACGAGCGAAGGATATGAATCGGCTGGCGATTCGCAAATACTTTCGACCTACATCATCAGCCATTTTCGTTATGCTTTGAGCGCCATCTCCAGAAGAACAATAAACTATATTGAATATTTGTGAAATAGCACATTGAAATGTATAAATTTTATATCAGAAATAATTTATTATATTTATCATTTAGTAGAATTTTTATAGTCTCTTTTTATAGAAACCATTAAGAATTATTTTAAAATCGAACCATCTCAATTTAAGTTGATCATCACTATTAACTATGTATATATCATATCAAAGTTAATTAGTTTTATTATAGTTTTAATATCTTTTAAAGATGTCCCAATATTTTAAGCCTTATATTTTCTTTCAAATGTAAGAAAAAAAGAATAAAATGGATACTCATTTCACATTTACTAAAAAAAGTGGATGGTTTAAAGTGTAAATCAATATACTTTCTCAAAATTGGGTAATATACTAACTTTTCTGTTTTTGAGAATTTCACCCCATATAACAACTCATTTGTAACTATCTTGAGAATGGAACATGACCAATTACACGGAAAGGGATCGAATTACGGAGGAACTTTCACGAATTTGTCGAGCAATAAGTCACCAGCTCGTTCTTCAGGATGTTAAGTAGGATCACCGGGGTCACCGCAAGGACTTATGTTACAGGATCAATTTCGAATCCTCCTTTCAACGAAACGGATGACAGCCCATTCACAAGGATTTTAACCGGATTAATAGATCAAACCTTTCCTTCTTTTACACAAATTTTCTGAATGAAGAAACTGAAAGAGAGTAGAAGATAAGAATGGAAAATAGTATAATTAATTTGCTAAATTACTTTATCTATATTGTTTATAATTAGACATACATATGTAGATTATTTCATATTATTAAATATTCCAGAAGAATTTTCTCTTAATTAAGAAATTAATTTTTCTTGTCAGAATTGAAAACGAAAGAAGGCTCTTTGTGCCAGATCTAAATCTAGAATAGTATTCCTTTTAATCAAAACACAATCTCAGGCAATAAAAGTTGGAAGAACGTGGCGGATATCCGGAAGAAAAACATCTAGAGCAAAGGTCGATTCCGTCCGAAAAAAGCATTATTCGTGGAGTTACATCCCGAAGGAAGATAGCACTGGCAAGGATGGACCAGGTGGCTGCAGATGACGCAGAACCAAACGATTGGACGAGAAGCTCTCGGAAAAACGAAAGAGGAGGACGTGGCCAAGCCGAAGGAAGATGCTTTTGCTGTTCAGAAAGCTCCGCCCGAATTTTCAGGGCGTCTCAAAACTCCCTCTTCTCTGCCAATGCTCTTTTTCCTGCCTCTCCTCGTCATTCTCTTCTTGGTCCACACTTTTGACGTACAATTAGTTTCGCGTGAACATCGTGACCCGTCGTTGCATTTCAACAATACGAGTTTAAAAAAAAAAAGAATCATTCAGAAAGTAACAAGGTCAGGTGCACCATCTTTGTCTTCAACCCTTAAAAAAGACCTTACGCTTTAACTATTCCCTCAACCCTATTTTCTATTATTCGCAAGTGAAGAAGTAAAAAAACTGTGACAAGTTTTTCCTTTTAAGAAATATGGTTTTCTTTCAACTTTTTCTTTAGAAATATTTTGTGACACAACACGTAGAAGAGTTAAGGAAAATTAATGTATATTGGCAGGTGTAACAATGAAGTGGGATTAAATAATTGCAGAAAATGCCAAGGAAGAGACGTGCTTCGACACCGATGTTGGAAGCTGACGAGGAGGAATTCGGTTCGGAAGAAAAGTACAGCAAGGACGAATTAGACAACCGTGCACCGAGAAACGCAGCAAATGCGAGAGAACGCGCTCGGATGAGAGTTCTCAGCAAGGCATTTTGCAGATTAAAAACCACTTTGCCTTGGGTACCAGCTGATACGAAACTTAGCAAACTGGACACCCTTCGTCTTGCCGCTACTTACATCGCTCATCTTCGCGCAGTTCTCAGGGATGACGGGGATGCACATTCGGAGACGACTAGATCATTATCTCTTGCGCTGGTGAGTTTTAATTACAGGATAGACAAAATAATGGGAACATTACGAAGTTTTTAAACCCTTCATTTTTGTTAAATTTTCTTTCAATATCGCTGAATCAGTTTATTAAAAAATTTTGAGAGTAACTAAATAAAAATAATTTTGCCTTGTACGATTGCAATTTCCCCTACTTTGTAAAATAACTGAGAATCCAGGTGGATTCAATCGGCGGCGCAGCCTCGTCTTTGCCGTCGCCTTCTCTGTTTACGTCTCTCCAGGTGGATCAAATCACTTTTAAACTTTCCACCCACCCTTTCCACCATTAATTCTAAGTTAGTTCCGTTATTTGAAGAACGGCGCCTTATTCATCTCCCATATATTTCTTTTGTCTTCTTCAGGATCTGCTAAAGTTAGCTTTGATAATAATTAAGGTATTAAAAAGAAGTGACTAATATAAAACACCATTTATAGAAAATGTATAGTTTCAAAGCCTATATTAAAATCGTGAGCTAGAAAGATGTAATAAGGATGAAATTTGAAAATGTTTGAAAATTAGAATCGTGATAATTATTAAATCTAATTTCCTTCATTTCTTTTTACAGTCATGGCCGTTTGCTCTTCAAGGAAGCAACGCTTCGATGTTGATGAACAACAGTTGCAACGTATCATCTTCAACGTCTTCGAGTTCTAATCAGTATCGTGGTCAGCAGGGAACCCATGAGATTCCAAATTTCCATCACCCTGGTCATCAAAGTATGTCAATGCGTCACAATCATGAGCCACAGCTCTCCTATTTCTAATGCCACTTTCAAACGAAAGGATTTGAGTCTATTATCGAAGTTCGAAGAAAAACATTCTATTCATAAACAACTTTATCATCTATATTTATTTCAGAGTGCCTTATTATACTACTATTTATTGATATATTAATTAATGATTTAAGAATTGCTATATTATAATAATTATTATTGTAACCAAAGCGTAAAAACTAGTCTAATAAAGTATTTCTATAATTCTATATTGAAATAATGCTTCCTTTGTTCTTTAAAATTATACCACGCATAGAACATTTTATATAATCGAAAATCTGAAAAAATTTCATTGTATTTAATTCTAAAAGTATTAATTATTCGGAAATGATCTAAGCGCGGTGGAGTGTTATTAGAAAAAATTCGTGCTGTTTCCGGAAAGGACGTGGTAAGGAGAGAAGGATAAAGAACGCCAAGTTAAATAAACAGTGCGAAGGGCCTTTTGTGTAAACCTGAAACTAAAATAATACATCTCGTCCCATTTACAAATCGACCGAGGTTGAGCATATCGTTTAAGATCCTCACATGTCAATACAAACCATCTTTTAAGTTTTATGAATCATGTGTTTTTTCATATCTTTCGTCGAATCCTACACAAAAATAAAATATCTTCAATTCATTTTTAAAATAATAGATTACAAAGAAATGTTGGATCCATTTGTTATGCGGAAGGCGGTTGAGAACATTTTTTAGTCTTAACTTCCGAATAGCTAAAAATCCTTCTCGCAAATATTATTTTTATATTAAATGAAGCTATTTACAAAATTTCAGCTAAATTGACAGGTTTTCAAAAATTTAACTTTTTTTTATAAGTATTGATGAAGACTTATCGATCGACAGATGATCGACCGATGAGTCGATCAATAACTTCCGCTACTTTTCGACAGAAGGGACTAGTATTCCCCTAGTTAGTGACAATTTCTTCTTTATCGAGCTCGACGACCGCCACATGTTTCGGAAAATCAATCGGTAAGTTGTCGAGTAGTTTCAACCTTTTCTGTATAGATAGCGCTAGGGTCAAATTTTAAAAATTTCGTTTGTGACGGTCTTTTTAAAATGCAAGTTTGTGAACACAATACGACTTCTACGCATTCAAAACTAATTAATTGAATCCCCCTTCAGCCTCATTTTCGACAATTACGTTCAAGGAAAATTAGCGACATACATAAAACGTAGCATTTATTTGTCAATATTTTTTGGCTTAATACAGAAAGATTATTCTGTTATGAAAAATATAAAACGAATTAACAGATTTACGACACGCATGTACAAAGAAGCTGTTTCGTTTTAAAATGAACTTTCTTACTTTCAACCGCCTCGTAATAATCAATTTGAATAGATAATTATGTTGCAATAATCTATCAATTTATAAATAATCAGTAACACACAATAGACTCAGTGACGCTCATATTAAGGTAACATTCAATCTGAACGAAATTAGAGCACAACGTTGCAACGAATAAAATTTAATCGATCAAATAGCAACACGATATTTAATGTCTAACACATAAATGGTAACGACAGCACATCCCTACACAACCATTCAAAATATGGCGCAAGGTACAAGTTAAAAGATTAGGAATATCAACGCAAAAACGATAGACTTCGCTCCTATAACATGATTTTTCGTACAATATTTGTGTTGGTATAATTCGATGTTAACACCTCAAAAAGATCATGCCAATGATGACCATCAAAGATGCATAAAAGTATTTGAATCACATAGGCAGACATTAGTGATTCGCATAAAGTATGAAGTAGAAAAGTTTTGTAAAAAATCATGTCTGTGTTGTTGTACATCGCACATTCACACGGACCAGCCATGGTTTCACTATATAACTCATCATTTAAACGCTATATACTCTGAACAGCAATTATGAACACAACAAACGTAGCGACTATGCCTCAATTAACGATAATAGTGGCACTAAAAAACTGAAAATTCTAAATATATTCACTGATATCCTCACGAATAATGAGAGGCGAATTTAAGTATTTAATTTTTTTAAAATTGGCATGAATAAATTTTAAAAAATACCTTTAGAAATTACTCCCAAATTTAGTATTTTAATTACTCATTATTCCCTATTCCCCTCTCTCTTTTTTAATTAAAGATTATGATAACTTGGAGGGTAAAAACTTAAACTCGCCTCTGTGAATAATTCGTAGCTTCATTTCATTTAGAATTTTCAGTCTTCAATCGTTACATAAGATATAAAAACTATGAACAGTTTCTGGAGACTTATACACAAAAAGCATTAAAAATTTTGAATTTAGAATAACGAAGGAAGCCTAATTATAAAGACAATAATATTCTAATACGTGATTGTATCATTTGATCCTATAAATGATATATACATATTTTAAAATATATTCCATAGTTTCTTTCAAAATTGATGATTTTCGAATTTAAAAACGCAGTTATAAAAATATTTCTATCGTGTTCAGTGGTTCTAAGTAAATCTCTTCTTTGGCTTTGTCGCAAAATATTGAAAATATTTTTACATATAGGAAAAGTCTGACATAAAAGAAAAGTAATAGAATTATTTTCGTAGAACGTAAACACCTTTGAATCGTTTAAAAGCCTTTCATCTCTCTTAAGAAATTATTACGCGAGGAGCATTGGGGTAACGAGGTAGGGGCCAGGGTGGGCTTGGCCCCCCTAAAAATCTGGACCTTCACAATTCTAAAACTTAGGATCCCAACATTTCAAAACTTCAAAATACCAAAATTTTTAAATTTCTAAATTTTTGAAAAACCTGGCTCGCCCCAGAAGAAGGTCCAAGTTACGCCAACAGCGAGGAGGAACATTATTTCTGAAAACTCATTGAGGTAGAGAAAAAAAATCATTATAAAGATTAAAATTTCAGCCTCTTTCAGCTCTTTCGTTCGTCGATTATTCGCAAAAAAAATAAATAAAAGAAACCTGTCTAACAAGAATTCTCAATGATATACCAGCGATGTGTACGAATTTTAGTATTTAAAACGATGGTACCGAAAGCCGAAGATCTACGCTCTGTGAGACGAACCATAGCTTCTACGTAGATCTACTCTCTTAGATATAAGAATTTTGTGGTTTCAGGAACCCACGGTGGACTTTGAAAAATTCAAATAAGCATAAAACTTTTACGTACAATAGTAATTGCAGAGACTCAGGAAAGTATTAGAAAAATGTTCATTCTCAGTGGGAGATTCAACAATCTGTAAATTTCTTCGATGTTTCTTCGTTTCTTTGAAAGTCGTTCAATCGAAAATACAGGCAAGAACTCGTACCAGACAGTTGCCTATTCTGGCACAAGTCCTTTGTCCCTGGTTTGCGCACTCCTTTCTTCTATTCTTTCGATTATCCTGACACTCCTTTTTTCCAGGTTTCGACATTTTGCAACTTTGATCCTTATAAGTTCTAACACCGATCCTTGGGGTGCTCGATAGCCTGGACAGTGGACCGCTGACCGAATTTCGAAGCTGTGAACAAAGAATGTATATCTTCTTGTGACAGCTAACATTTTATTTTAATGCTACATTTCACCTTCAGCATAGAAATTAATTTTTATATGTTTCTACCGCGAAGCAACAACTTATTGCACAAGTTAGTGATAGTACCATTCTTCTACGTCTGCTTGATCTCACGTTAGTCGTATCATTCGATTCGTAATTTAATTTGTATTTTTGACATGCCATGATTGTTGTTGATATTGTACAGATTAACTTGTTATTGAAATACAACACTTCACGTTCGATTGTTCACTTTTGATTATATTTTTGCTCGATATTAAAACAATAGATTAGATATTGTTCGCACGAAATCTGTTCAAAGGTTGGTGCGTTACACACAAGATAGTTCAAAAGACTAAAATAGGTAAACCGATAAATGGCTTTGGTATAAATGGAATTTAGGCATACTGTTAAACCAATACACCGGGAGACAGATAAAAGAGTACTGGCTGATAATCATCATGGACACTGTTCACAGCAATAAGCTGAGCACTAACAACTGATAAGAAATTTATCTACACCTCACTTTTACAGTAATATGAAAAAGGAAGATAAATCTTTTATAATTTTTCAATTTTCATCAAGAGAAAGGGTTTTAAAAAATTTCTACCTGATTAACTGCTGACGATACGATAAACTAATTTCATTTTTTACCTTATCATTGAAACTAATTAACATTAAATAATAGAAAAATGGTACACTTACGAGCAGACGTACCTCTTCCTCTGGATTTTCAGTATGTCCCAAAATTTTGGTGACAATGAAGGCGCATTCTTCGCTGGTCAGAATACCGCTTGCCATTGGACCCTCGATGAACTCCCTGTCGCTCATAAGAGGGTACCGAACACTGTACCAGACTTCATCGGACAGTGCGGTTCTTTTATTGTTGGATGATAATTCCACCCCCTGTTTTCTGCACTCGGACGCAGCCCACCTGTCCAATGCGGAAAAAAGGGTCGATTCGTTTGTCAACCTCAGGGTGTCTCGGCATGCTAATTGTTCAACTTCAACCGCGGTCAACTCTTCGAAACGTTCTTGATTGAAAACCGCCTCTGGGTCCGAGTCGATTACATCCAGGCAAGTCAGAAGAAGTCGCGTACACACTGCAGCTAAGGTTTTAAAGAATTTTCAAAAATAATTATAACTAAGCGGAAAATAAATTGAACACAATACCTATTTCACCAGCGTCGTCACCAGGAGTGGGAGGTGCGGTAGGTGAGCCAAACGTGGATGTCTGATTGAGACCGGAAGTTACATGGTTCGCGTAGAGGCTGATACCCTGATAGATTTCGAGCACGGTGTTCGAGTTCAAATTACTTTCGAGATACTCAACGGCAAGGCGTGCCAAGTCCGGATTAAGGTACTGATGAGCCGCGTCGAGGGTAGCTCTAGCCGTCGACACGGATTGAAAGTTTATCGGTTTGTCGAGAAGATATCTGCACAGGAAACGACACGGCTGAAGACAATTGCCTGATAATCTGTATCGTTGAACTCGAATTTTTAACCACACTTTTGATGGACATTTTTTTATTCTAAGAAACAAAAATTAATTACAGATTATAATTATTTCGATACCTTTATTCTTGATTAAATTGATGCTTATCAAAATTGAATGTTACAAAGGGAACATTTTTTTTTTTAATAATTACTTCCGGTTTAATTCATTTCAATCGCTTCGAATTTGAATTCGTTCTTAAGGCACGTTTCTTCGTGATCTACATTTACAACATCTTCTTCTAGAGTACCGAGCCTCGTTTAATTTCCGCTTGCAAGAAACTACCAACGGTAAGGTGATTAGAAGAATAATCCAAAAATATGCGATGGTTCCAATTAATGCTAATGTGTATAAAGACACGGTTGCCATAATGACATCGAGTTAATTTCAAAACACTTCGAAAACGATCCTTTTAATTGTTTAAATAATGGTTTAATTCAAATCAATTTGAATGTTTGTAACTATAAAAAAAGTAGCTCATCTTTCTATAAAGTTAATACTTTTAAAATTTTTGAATTGCAAAACTTTCATTGTAAGAAATTTCATTTAATTCTATAGGTTTTATCGGACTACAAACTTTGAATCTATATATTAGTGTGACCTATATATATTTCCGAGTTCTGTTCATGCTAACGTTAATGAATGAAATTCGACGATCATGTTTGATCTGATGTTCAATAAACACGTGACTGCGTTACACGATCAATCGATCAATTATGCGAGTTACCTGAGCACATGATCGAAAGCACGTTTTTCCACGTGTTGCAGCTGAAGGAGAGGCGGAGGATCACTTGGGGCAGGTGCAAGCGGGCCAACGAGCATCGCACGGAACAATTCGGACTTTTCGGCAAGTCGTTCCCTTTCTACGCAGTACCTCCAGGTATCACCAGGTGGACCGGCCTATAATCATCCAGGGTTAATACAATTTTCTCGCATTTACAACCTTCGCTGAAAAATCTTATGATTTTCGACATGTTCGATCCTGTGCTTATCTGTTCTATTATTTCTCGTACCTCAAGTATCACCATATTGGAGGCTGAGGATTCTGTTGTACCAGTTTCCGTGTTTGTGATAAGAGGAACTTGAGACATGTCTTGTGATGAATTTTCAAGTATTCCAATTTCCTTCGAACGGTGTCGCAGGAACATAGGAAAGATTATGGTTTTCGAGTAAACTCGATTCCGCGCACCCTGCCGAGTCCTCTGCCGCAATTTTTCAGATTCGATGCGAGCGCATCGTGAGCTGTTGCCTGTAACAAAACAAAGAACTTAAAATATCTGTAAATGCGCAACTTATTTAAGTTTCAATCGTATCTAACAGGAAAAAAAGGTATGTAACTACGCGTGTTTTTATTGTATCCTCTTCCATGAATCATTTCTTCAAACAAGTATTTTATGTCGAACTACGGGAATCAATGAGCTCGATTATTTTTATAATTTTTATCGAGGAGCCTGATGGTGTTCTGCTGTGTAAACACCAGAAGAACTGCAATATCTAAACCATACAAGGGTTTGGCGGTGTTTACCATTGATAGCATTTTGCTTTTGATTACTTGTTGATTCTCATTTATTAGAACACTAACTTTTATTCAACAGTAACTAAATATTATAGTTAATTAATACGATGGAAATCATTACTCATTAGAGTACGCATTTTATAATAAATACAGTTAAAAATGATTTATTTTATACAATGTTGCAAATAATAAAATAATTTTTATCGTTTAACACTGTATATCTTTTCAAAATTAAAACAGAAATCATGTACCGAAGGAATAATAATATCTATATCTGTGTTATCGATCCATGAAACTAATTGATGGCGCATCATTTATGTTAAACCGAAGAAAAACTACTAATATTCATAAAGCAACAAAATTGTTTCAAGAGGTGAGGAACATAAGAAGGTGAAGGTCGGTTAAAATATCGTTTTTTTATGCATATTATCCTCGACATATTACGTGAAATTATTTTGCTGCTTGGAATATGTCGTTTTGAAGCAGAAAAAACACCATTCTTTTTATGAAGACGCAATTTTTAACAAACCAAAATATGTTATAATACTTTCTATGATACTAACAGTTTGAGGAATGCAAATGTAAACTATATCCAGGAGGAATGTGTTTCCTCAGGAAACATCCGGTTTACGCCCGGAAACCTCAAACTGTAAATATCGCAGAAAGTATTCTAATGAAGACGTTGGTATTTGATAATACCACGAAGAGAAAATTATCATTTATAATTTGCAATATAAGTACATCTTACCGTCGTTATAAGCAACTGTCATTTTGACACTGCAGATCGCATGCAACACTTAAATTTTTATTTTTCGTTTATAATACTAGACAAAAATCATTGATTTTAACACTCAAAACATCTGTTAAACAATCTTCATACAAAATTCATATTCTTTATGTTAAATTTATCGCGTATCAAAATTAGAAGCAACAGGTTTCTCAAGATCTGTCAACCCATCAAGAACATCCAAAAAGAAAGAATCCTCCAGTCACAAGTAATAAAATTTTCACTTTCTTCACTTAAACAATTTTCAATCTTTCAATTCTCATTTATCATCACAAAAATAAGTTAAAGAACCTCTGACAAGTATTTTTCACAAAATAAAAAAAAAAAATTTATCACTGTACTCACTTATTGTTAACTACGTTATATTTAAAACAAAAAGAATATCTTTTTTTATTTTCAAACCGGTACCAACGAATCGCTCGAAATGGAACGCAATAGAAGCAGCAACCCTCTCAATGCGAGCAGTCTCGCTCGACTGGCAGATCGATGGAACTCGTGTCGACTGCACTGAATGACTCAGTCTCCGAGGGATTCGTCCTAATGTAAATGTATGCGGTCGTATTTTATCGACTGCAACGACAATTATTTGTAAACACTGGGTAAAGATTCATGGGACAAGGCACCATGGAATGTATGGAGTATGAGAGAAGTGCTTCGTTATCGATACTTCGAACTGTCCCGGGACGTTTCAGAAGGGCAACATGGGAAAAAGGAAGTCGTTTGTTTAGGCAAGTTTATATATCTACGCGCGAGATCGTTTGTTTCAGGGATTTACTTGAAACTCGAGGCGAACTCAAAGAATTAATTCAAGGGTAATAGGGTAATCGGTAATCGCGACGTTGGACATTAATCGATCAAAATTTTTAATTTGACTAATTAATTAATATTTACGAACCAAATATTAATCCTCCAACGTCATGATTCATTTTATTAAGTATATCAGATCAGTTTTCAGATTTTGGACTCAAACAATTTGAAGATTTGATTTTAGATAGATTTGATCTAATTAATTTATTCCTTATTTTAAATTCAAAAACTTTTATTCTGATTTCGAATATTCTGTTTTTGAATGAATTTTGTTAAAACAAAGATAATAAAGAATAATTAAAATAGTACTTGTAATCATTTGTTATAATTTGTTAAACGACACTATTGATATTTATGATCAAGAGCATTTAAAACTGCTTCAAATAGCAATCTTGTTATCCTTTAATACAATACGCTTAAATATTTAATGTTCAGTTACAAAATAGGACAACGATATTTAAGATTATTTACACGTACGTAGTCTGACAATGCGTATCTGGTTTCATTGTAACATTTCGTGCTTAATTACTGATGCTAACTACTAAATACTCTGATATCATATCAAATTCTTAGAATCAATGATTGATATACATATTTGCTAAACATATTTTCGACGAATTAAATTGTAACGAACGTATACCACCATTCTTGGACTCTTGAGAGGTCAGGCTTGGGGGTGAACAAAATATTCATTTTCTATTCTTCGAAGGCTGCAGTGAAAAATGTATAAAGGAAAACTTTCTCTGTACATTTTTTGAGGCGCACATGTGTTTTCCTGGGCAGCCTGGGAAAGTGCCGAAAAACGACAGATTCGGTGTGACCATCATCTAATACACATCGCCTCGTTCATTAATATTTTTACGAATAAATCTATTCATTATTACCAAACCGCGCTACGTATGAGTATTTTTATTAACCCTCACATTAATCCCAAAAAATGATCTTCAAGAAGAAAAATGTTTAAATAAAAAAATAAATAAAGATATTAATTTGTACTAGAGCTGAATACATTCACATAAAAAAACATGGTCTTTAAACAATACTTCTTTCCACACAAGACAAATTTACTCTCCTTTTTATCAATTTTTATCACTAATTATTTTTTTTTAAGATACCAACGAACCATATTCGAAAATACAATGTGGCCATCTGTTTCATTTCAACGTCTTCATTCAAGTGTCTGTTTTTTTTCTTTCGTTCGACGATTACGCTCTTTTTGATTCTATTTCTTTCCTACGCATTAAATACGGAAGTAATCGACAAAAAACGTTGAATGGTGTTAACACGGTTTTGCATTTCGAGCGAATAATTAGCACATGTTAATCGAATGCAATTTCCAAGAGGCGGGTGAATGAGTTCATTTTAGAGGCCGTGACCAAGGTTACGCACAGTCACTTACATAAAATTAAAAAAGAAAAAAAGTAGTTTAAAAAAGGAGTATTAAAAAGTAGAAATCTTGAAGCTCTATTATGAATAGAGCGGATCTGAAGCTCTGACGAATAGAAACAACGACAAAATGCTTTCGTTTTATTTGTACAGCTAATCAGGTGGCCTGCGGAACAGCTTCTCTAAACGTCTCGCTTTAACTGATTTCTTTTCTTGTATGTAAATATTAGTCATCGTAGGTTCTGTTTAAATTGTTGCAAGATAAACCGAGGAACAGAAGTTTGTGAAATTCACAAATAATTCCAGTAAAGCGGAACGCTTGTTAGAATTCGTCGCTGCTTGTGAATCACGGCTTTGTTAAAATTAGAATCATCAAAGACAAGGAATTAGAGGAGTGGTTCAGCACCAGGGTCAAATAATTATAGCAAAAATTTCTCTTCTCTCAAAAATATCGTCCACGCGAGGGCAAGTCTAACCTTGAGATTCTGGGCGTCAATGAACCCTTAAATTATGCTAATTTTAATCTTAAAACACGACGAAGTGGATGAGCAACAGATTTTAAACGCATACCAGAGTTATCTGTTATTCGGTTGAAATTTTATAACGTCGCTCGTATGATTGCTCTTAAAAAATGAGAAGTATCTAAGTTTCTTTAGTTATTAAATATTTATACAAAAAATGTAACCATGTAATATTATATCCACAGGGTCAATTCATTTAACAAAATTTGACACACTGACAATGTCGACTTTAACAAGATGCGGCTGTGCAATTGATAATTAAGTTAAACGAGTTCAGTGAGGTCTTTTAATTCAATTGAGACTCGCACCTCCGTTTCTGACGCAGCCGCGTTTTCATAAGATAAACGCATTTGCGTTGATAATATTGAATCATAAACAGTGCACAAAATTAAAATATCTATAATACTTGTTCTAACATAGTCAAAATTCGGGTTTTTGTTTCGTGTGATAGATAGACCAGATAAGTGTTAATTTCTCACGGTTGCATTTGTTATCTCGGTTAGTGTACAATATACGTATTATGAATAATAATGACTACTACTTATGTTTCCTAAGACGTGATTGATTTTTGCACTGATCGTATCACTTTCTACAACTATCAAACACGCCAGCAACATATGCGATTATCTGCAATATTATGCGGAGAATTTGTTGCAATTTCAATCGAGGAGAAAATCAAGTTGATTTTGAAAACAAAAGTTAAAATTTAATAAAATTTCTTTTGAATTTATTGCAGTTGAGTATCAAATTTGTTTTCTATGTAAAAACGTATAATCATCCCCTAATTAAAATAATTCTTTTTTTAAATTAAATTCATATAATCATTTTTTGTATTATTTTTTCTCTTCAAGTCAATCAACTATTTCTAATTTTTAATTGATTTCATATCTTTCATTTCTCTTTTTTAAATTATCATACACTATTTTTGTAAATGGACGGAACAAAAGAAACCGAGCTATTTGGCTCTCAATTTTGAATAAACTCGAAAAGGCAAAAAGTGGTTTGGTAAATGTAACTGTGTCTTTCTTGTAACAAGTATTTCGACATTTTTCTTCGTGGGTGTATGCAACGAACGTGTCCTTGGAGTCTGTGGCGGTGTACAATATACATTGTCTCATATTATTACGTGTTTTGCGTTCTCGTCGAGCAGCCTATCACAGAAAACGACAAAAAGCGTCGTGTGGATTTGTATGATAAAAAAAAAAACGAGTATTACAACATGCTACATAGTGGATCGAGTGGAAGAACAATTGTAAAAAGTTAGTGGAATAATTGAACGTACCAGGAGAAGAATAGCGTGAAATATGTAAATGATTGTAAGAGAAAAAGTGCATGAAAAAGTCCAGCCTAAATAATTTCAGTTAAACTACAGAATATTGTTCTTCTATATTTTACGAATAATCTTCAGTTATTCTTGCAATAATACAGAACCGGATAGATCTAGCAATAAGACAGTGGTGCAACCATAATTACCCGACAGGGTGGTGGCGGATCAACTGACCCTTCAGACCTCCCTTAATTGCGCTATTGCAATTAAAAGCAAGTAGATTTATTTTAATATCTTAAAATTTTCTCATTCTATTTATATAATGAAGAATATGGTGGTTGGAATTTTGCATTTCAAGAATTTCAAAAAAATGTCCCCTGCATTACTTTGGTTCTAATTGTCTCATATAATTCATGGAATTTTCTACTATCACCAGATACATTTAACAAAGGAAATGGAACTTATGGTTGGACTTTTTTCTTTACCGTCTTCGAAGCTCTGTCATATGTTTACTCTGTAGTATCTCAAATGGTTCGGTGACCATTGTATCCGAAAGAAAAAGCAGCTGTCGTTTCATACAATCGCTATGCAGTGAAAATTGATACGAATTTTTTGTACATTTAGTCTTCGTTTATAGTCGAAACAAAAATAATTGTGGTTATTAACATTCTAATTTATAACTTGGAAATCTTTGTTCATCAGTGAATGATAATCATGTAAGAATCTTGTTTAAACTATTACATCAATGATCTGTAACAATCTTGTTATACTTAAGTACGATGTTACATAAGTAAATAGACTATTACTCCAACTAGTTGGCGTTGAATATATCGTACATTCTTGCAAGTTTTCTACGCAAACTTGTCAGTGTTTGCTAGACTATTGTGCATTTTATTTGAAGTCTTTATTATATCTAGGTAACTCAATAATTTCAATACTTTATGGGAATTTATATATTATTCAAGATTCAAGATATTTTCTCATATTCTTAATGGAAGATGGATATTTTTTAAATTTCATTTTGTTTAGAAAAATAAAATAAAAATATGATGTCCATTTCTTATTGAAGCGATCGTGGGAATGCTTTAATGTGCATTTGTTTAGATATAAGAACATGGAGTTTTTTTACCATCAATTGAACCAATTGAATGGAAAGTAGTCGAAGGGCTAGAATTCAATTTACTTTCGCCCGCATATGTATGTCTGTTCTTTGCACTTAACGCGGTGTACAGTTAGGGTAATAATCTTCATCTTGCAAGAATTAATGATTGCAAATATATTTCATCCTATGTTAATTACCATTATTAATTGATTACACATTTTAGAATCGAATGCAAAGTATGTGTACAAAGTACTGGCTACCACTTTCAATTTAAAATTGCATCTAGAAACACATAAAAATAATAACAGTACAAGTTCCAAGAGATTAACGACAGGCATTTAATTTTAAACACAAGACACTCGTTATGAGAACAAGCCCAGAACAATAAAAATTCCAGGTTATTCATTAGTTACGATCGTTTGAATATGAAAAGGTAAAGCAGTACAACAGATTATGCTATAATCCTGACATGCCGTTTAGCTTTCGGAATCCTGTTTTTGTTCCTGTTTATTGGTCATGCTCTAGTAGAACTGACAGTAAAAGTCCAATGAAATGACCAACAAAAAGTCCAAGAAAAAGATAGTGAATTAAAACAATGACACAGTGTTAGATAAAATAGAATTTCAAATAAAAAATAAAAACAAAATTGAGGGCCTGCTAGGGCAAAATGGAAACTTTCTTAAATTTTTAAATTGGATACAAACTATTTTTAGAGCGCAGACTATTTTAATGCCATTGATAAAAAATT